TGCTGCAGAATTCCAGTCCTTTTTAAGGGGTAATATGATCAGGCACGCCACTTTGCCCCCCTTTCACCCGGCCTCTAACGGCCAAGCAGAACGCATGGTCCGGACAACCAAAGAATCCTTAAAGAAGATCGTAACCGGCAACTGGTAGCATCAGTTGGCAGATTTTTTACTGTGCCAATGCACGACTCCCTGCACTTCCACAGGCAGAAGTCCAGCAGAATTAAGATAGGGCTGTCGTTTAATCACTAAACTGGATCGTCTGCATCCAGACTGAGTTGCCTCAGAATCAGCACAGCCCAAGCCACTGCGGAGCTTGCAAGTTGGCGACTGGGTTTGGGCTCGAAACTACGGGCAATGGGCACTGTGGGTGGTAGCTGTGGTTGGTAAGATATCAGGGCCATCCTGAAATATCAAGACCTTAATCAAATGACAATACCTGAAGAAGTGAGCTGAACTGAAGAGGCTGGGCTTTTATGATTTGTAATTGAGAAGCATTGTGGCAAGGAGCTTTCAGTGACTGAAAAGAAAATTAGAATAATAGCATTTACATAAAAAACAAATGAATTCAGGTTCATATGTTGTCATCTGAAATGGCTTCCGTATTGTGATCTGCAAAGCTGATGAGTCAGATTGTCTCAGTCATCCTAACCAGCAGATGAGGAAACTCCATACAAGGGAGAAGGCTTCAGGGTTGTGATTTCCTGTCTGAGATTTGTCACCAATCTTACAGACAGATAATGTGTTTTCTAATAAGAAACACAATGGAGTCTCTTTCATAAGAACAGAATAACAGAGTTGGAAGGGACCTTCTAATCCAATCCCCTTCTTGAGCAGGAGAACCTATACCAGTGATGGCGAACTTTTAGAGACCGAGTGCCCAAACTGCAGCCCAAAACCCTCTTATGTATCGTCGGGTGCCAGGTGGGTTGGGCCCATTGGTTTGGTGTGGCCCATTGGGTTGGTGTGGCCCATTGGATGGGCCTGGCTGTGGTGAATGGCAGACTGGGTGGGACTAAAAAGTTCAATCAATCAATTCCAATTTTGCACGATCTTTTTTTCCCCATGAGAAGTTGAAATTGATTGATTGATTGAACTTTTTTTTTTTGCACACGGCGGTGGAGACCTAAAGCGAAAAGGTTTTATAAAACCTAGCTGAAGGCCTAGGACTGGGGCGACGGCGTGCGTGCCCACTGAGAGGGCTCTGCGTGCCACCTGTGGCACACGTGCCATAGGTTCGCCACCATAGCCCTATACCATTCCAGACAAATGGTTGTCCAATTTCTTCTTGAAATATTCCAGTGACAAAGCACCCAGAACTTCTGAAGGCAAGTCATTCTATTGGTTAATTGTTCTCATTGTCAGGAAAATTTTTCTTAATACTATGTTGGATCTCTTTTTGATAATCTCCCATCCATTACTTCTTATCCTACCCTCAAGTGCTTTGCTTTGGAGAATAGATTAACCAGTCTTCTCTGTGACAGCCCTTCAAGGATTGGAAGGCTGCTATCATACCATCCCTAGTCCTTCTCTTTGCTAGACTAAACAAAGCTAATTCCCACAGCTTTTCTGGAGTCTTGATGTTGTAGAGAGAGAAAAGTATTTTGTTACAAAAAATGAATTAATGACCGCTATGAACTTATTAGCCTATATTTAATGTTATATACTATAATAGTATGATGGTTTTTTAAAATTTTTTTTGTAAGACTAGGAGTAGGGACAAAATGCCTCATTCAGTCCACTGAAAGGTCCATCTTCTGCACATGTTCTAACTGAGATTGGCTTCATTTTGCATAATATAGAATACAAACTTAACTTGCAGTACTAACAAGATGAATTTTCGATAGTATTTGTGAGAGAGATAAGGTGACCGTTTCAATGAAGTTATTGCTTTCTTTTTCATAAGTGCAATGCATTATTTTTGGGGGGGGAGGACAAAGAAATTGAACTTTACTATTTATTAAGTATTTGTGAGTTTTTATTCTTTATTTCCATAGTGTTAATAAAGCTTATATTTAATGTTTGAGCTTTTCATTTTTTCCTTTCATTTTTAAGAAACTCATTACTAATTTTATCATTATCCTCTGGGATGTTCTATTAAAATACTATTTATAAGTCTTTGGTAGAAAAAAATACTGGCAGAAAAAAGTCTGCTGCCCTGATTGACGAATCTCATCCTTCCCTAGGTATGATGCTGGCAAACAATGCTGATCAATGGACACATTGACCCAGATGGGTGGATTCCCCTGGCCTTGTTTCCCTTTCTTCTAACCAAACATCACAAGCTGTGGGAAAACATCTACCAATCCTTAATGCAGAATGGGTCTGAGCCTTGGAGGGAGACAAGTATGGCTAGAGCAGTGGTTCTCAACCTTTTTAATGCCGCGACCGCCAACCGGTTGTAAGTCGAGGACTTTCTCTACCCGGGAGCGCTGCGCATGCATGGTGCCGCCCCCTGCACCAGCCGAGGGGTAGCTGGCAAGCAGCAGATATGGAGTAGGCCGACCACCGGCTGGGCCACCAGCTGGCTCAGCCCAAGGGAGGTAAGGTACCCGCCGGGCCCCACGTGCGCCAGCAACCCTCCCTGCGCCCGCTGGCCTCCCACCTCCCATCCCTGGCCCTCTTTTACTTACATTTTTAGTAGTTGCTCAGCAGGGAGGGGTGAAAACTTCCAGACAGCTCGCCTTCGCTGCAGACAACTTGCAGCACCATTTGCAGAATGGGACTTTTGGCGGGCTCAGCAGGGCAGAGACAGCCTGGACAATTCCTATTGGCTTTTGAAAGCCAATAGAATTAGACTCTATTCAAGAGAGTCTATTCTATTGGCTTTCAAAAGCCAATAGAATAAAAGGGAGTAGCACAGCTAAGGAAAAGGGGAAAAAATGGCGGACTGCGTTGTTTGGCGACCCCCGTGAAATGGTCGTTCGACCCCAAATGGGGTCGCGACCCACAGGTTGAGAACCACTGGGCTATAGGATTAAATCTTTATATTCTGAAATAATCCTAAAATTGCTGACCAACAAGCAGCTGAGAAGTAGGAGGCAAGTTGTATTATAAAGCAGAGAGAGGGAGTTGAGTCTTACTTTTCCATGCAACCTCTTACCACCATCCCTGGTCAGCAGCTATTCTGGCTGATCAATGTCTTTAAGTTGGGGAGCAGCCTGGAGACTTGACACATACAGGAATTTTGAAGAAACTGGAAACACATCAAAATGCATCTACAGCAAAAGTGTTGTTATCTCCTTAAGAGAAAAACACAACTTTAACCCTGAACTATGAGGAATATCTGCAAGTTGCTTCAGCTTTGGATTGAATGTGGCAGAAAAAAAGAGGTTGCTGGCTCATGTTACATGGTGGGCAAGTGCAAGAGCTGTGTGATATGTGAGTCTTATTAGCTAGCATGAGTTAGGATAGCCATAAAATAGAAGTAGAGGATTCCAACAGTTTTTCAAAGATGAGGCAACCCATCAGTATGGCCCTCCCCAAAGCCTTTATTGGATCTTTTTTTTTCCTTTGTGTCACTTAAGAGAAAATGAGGACATACTATTGATTTTGCAGCAAAGGGGGCTGGGGACACCCTCTCAGGCTACAGTAACTATTGAACAGAAATGTTTTCAAATGAAAAAATTATTTGCAAAGCTGCAGCTTGATTTTGTTCCATTACCCCATGATTGTCCCCCTGTAAATTGGCCTATAGCTATTTTGGAGCTATTATATTACTAGAAAAAGAACTATCTTACCAATTTCACAATTATGTTCAGTCCATTTTTAAAAATACTTTCTATCTTTCATTTTGCTGCCGGTAGTCTGGCTATTTAATTAGAAAGATATTTTGCTTCCATAAGAGATTATGCTGACCTGGGTGAATTTCTAAAGTAAATTGGTACAAAATGTAAACAAGAATGAGGGTTATTGTTCTGTTTTCAGTTCCAAATGCAAACATAAGTTGTAACTGCTTTATTTAAAGTCTAATATCCACGTACTCATGCAATTCTGTTCATTTAATTTATGTTAAGTAGTTTTATGAGTTCCTGATATTAAGAAATATTAAGGTTTATGTGCCCAACAGATTAGCATCTCAGTGCCGGCCTCTGTAAATCCTTCCTATTCATATGTGCCTGGCTTTTGAGCAATGGGTACTGTATTTAAATATCTTTTCAGCTACATTTATAAATGGCCTCTGTGGTCAAAACACTTTTGCTAATTCAAGATGAAAAAATCACTGTAATTAATTCTAGAAAGAATTATTATAAAAACATGTATTTATGGTACTTAACTCCCTGTGATTTGAGCAATATTTATGCCTATACAGATTATGTATCAGGAAGCAGTTTTGTGCATATCTGAACTATGCCCTTAAACGTTTGACAATACTTTTAAATTATGTGGAATAGTTTGTTTCAGGTTAATGACAATTTGAATCTTATTAAACTAGTAAACATATAGTTATTTTAATATAAAAAAGTACGCCTACCCCCTCTTAAAGTTTCAGAATTCACAAAAATAAACAAGCATTATTGATAGTTGCATACAGTTTAGTCCATGTCATGTCTGATATTAGATTTCTTGTATTATATATGCTTTTTGTATAAACGATAGCATTTTTTTTAAAAAAAATCCCTAATCAGCAGATTGTAGCACATCTTAACAAGGGACATAATTAACAACAAGCTATTATCCTTAAAGCACATCAGTTAATGATATATATTAAAACACTATTATTTATTGCCTTTGAAAACCAGTCTTACAAACCATGTGTAAACGTGTGTGTGCATGTAATTTTCAGAGAACAAAAATATATTTTATTATAGCACTCAGTAGTCATCAGCTACTACACAGATGGCTTGTAAAAACCTCACTGTTCTAAAATTGGCTACATGTAAAAATTTGAAATCCATGCACAGAATGACATCTAATACCTGAAGAGACTGAAAGATTGGTTAAAAGAAGGAAGAAGAAGAGAGAGGGAGGGAAAAAAGAGAGAGGGAGGAGCAAATCCCAGTAAAGGGAAGAAATCAGCTCTTACGAGTCTTGAATATATTTCATGAGCTTCTATATAAAGACACAACAGCCTCAGTAAAAAGGATGTAGTAATAAGGACTTCTGCAGCTGGCATAATAAGACATGGTGAGTGTGATCTTTTGTTGCCTTACTGGGTTGCTACATTTTGGTGCAGGGGTGTGGTGTATTTATTTTTCTTTGTCAGTGCTAGAGTGTTTAGGATTATTTTGAATGAATTGCTTGCCACAGTTCCTTTTTCATATTTTCAACACGCACACATTCTTTGTGTAGAAACTAAACAGCAAAATTATGAGATCTGGTAGGATAAATACTTAGTGTCCTTGTACAACAGATTGCTATATATAACCAGTAACGAAATGCTGATTTTCTCTTAGGTGAATGCAAACAAGTATTTGTGTATATGTGTGTTGTGGGGCGGAGGGGAGGCTTTTCCCTCTGGAGACAATCTAGTGATTGGATGCTATATTATATGTCGCATGCCATGCAAGCGTTCCTTAAGGTGTGAAGGAAAACAAGAACAACACATCCCTCAGCTTTAGACATGGGGGAGGAAGGCAGAGACCTTTATAAATAATTGGTGCAGAATTTTCACACAAGAGGCATCGTGATGTGAAATCAATTAATCCCTCCCCCACATTCCAGTGTACAGTTCCTTTCCAACTGGCCATTTTCACAATTGCAGCAAATGAGTAATTTACTGCAACTCTTCTTCAGATGGCTGGTCAGAGTACCAGATAAGGTACTATCCATTGTGCTGATTATCTAGGAATAGTGCCATGCATGTAAGGAAAGAAAAGTGGGGAAAAGCAGCATAGGTGATACTATTATGTATCTTATTTTTCAAGGAGAGAAGTGAAGATGTTGCAACAAAAGGGCTTTTTCCAAACTACATAACCACATTCATTTAATTAAACAATTGCTTGAATCTTTTTACATTCTAAAAAGATTAATACTTTTCATGTGCAAACATGAAAGGTTAACAGTTTAAAGAATTGTTTTTTAATGGACATTCTGCTCTAGTCTGAAAATGATCCAAAGGAGAGTCAGATGTTTTGATCCATCTGTGAGAAAATCAGGGGCTTGTCCTATAGCAGTTGAAATGAAAATATTGTTTTACCAAAGAGAGGAAAATGATAAGAGGACCAATGAAATGAAAAAGAACTTCTGCTTCATGGAAGAAGGATTCTTTTTAAATGTGTGGGAAGTTGTATTGATAAAGTTTGTTTAGAAAACATGCACACATACCCAAATATACCACCCCTTTATTTGATTGAAAAAACTAAGAATGCAAAGCTAAGGAATTGTAGAAATATATAAAATGACATCACTTAATATAAAGCATATCTGAGGGACCTGTGGAAGAGCCAAGGGGAAGGAGGTATCCATACTTCAGGAAATAAGCTGTTCCGGTAGAGAGAAGCGTCTACAGAAAACATTGTATTGAATTGTAGTATGTATTAAACTTACAATAAATAACAACCACAGGTATTCATTTGTTTAGTTGAAATCAATGGGAATGATTGGAATCACAATTACAAACTCACAATTACTACTGTAATTTGAATTTGAAATCACTAAAGATTTCAAAGGGAATTATCTAAGCATAAGCATAAATCCGATTGAATCCAATACTTACCTTTAGCCTAACATATTGTGAATTAAGATGAAAATTGTGGACTTATGGTTTCCAAAAATGAAATGAATTTTCATAGATAATAGCTAATGTACATTTATATATGTGCCTAACTACTCTAAAAAAAAGCTAGTCTCAAAGCAGTGCTATTCACAAGAACATATTTCAGCTAGAGTAGCCATCTGTTTTGAGAAAGTCATGCTGGAATAGAAGGGATTTTGGATCATTAATGGGTGGCTAATATGAACTTTTAAAAACGACATATTTAAGAGTTTAGTGACCTGACAACCTTTGTTGAGTCTAGCATGCTGCACTGATGGAAATACATTGCACAAAAAACCTCGGGTGGTCTACAAAGCAACACTGAAATATTACAATCATAAATTTTAAAGTATGTAGTAAATATATCTGTAGAGACAAGAGAGTTGGGAGAAACACTAATTCCACTTGGTCAATTCCACTTGATCCTGCCAAGTCACTATGAATATCTGGATTGGATTTGGAAATAATGTATGAACAATTGTTCTTCCTAAACCCTTGACATTCTGGATGTGAGGACAAAGGAAAGGGCATATTTTATTTTACTTAGTTCTGCTTGAGGAATTTAAGTATTTCACTTCTTTACTTAAACAGGTTTGTTTGTATAAATCTGAAACTCCCATTGTAGATAAAATATCACAGATAAGTAATGTTGTTATGTTTCCATCAGAGGTAATGTGGTAGATACCCTTTAAGTTTTATTCTATTTTTCTGTTTATAGGGCCAGCTGTGATGGAGTTCAAAAGAGGAAAAACATTCATAAAATCTGGCATGCATCTGACTCATGAAAAGCTACCTTTAGTGCACTTAAATCCTAGAGAAAAGGATAATGTCAAAGCAGACATAAAAGAGAAGAGCAAGCCTGATGTTGAAATTCAAAAAGCAACTTTTTCTGCAGATAAAAATGGCAGTTTTTCCAGATTAACAAAAACTGGCTCTAGTGAGAGTATACTGCTGCTACCCCAATCTTTCTACAAACCTGTTAGGAAAAGCAAAACCCATGACTGTGTTCTAGGAGGAATAAATAAAATTGAACCATGCAGTTACACTAATGAAAATTCTGAAGAGGACGTTTTAGCTTCTGAAAAAAGCAACAGGAGACTCGTCAACAGTGCCAGCTTTTCTGGGCTTGGAAACACCCAATATTCTAGTGGCAAGAAAGAATCTGTGGTCAACTCAAGCCATTTTTTGAACAGCCCTCAACAGATGATTGATTACCGCAACTTTGTACCCCAAATGCCCTTTGTGCCAGCTGTTGCCAAAAGTATACCTAGGAAGAGAATTTCCCTGAAACGGTCCAAAAAAGGTTTTCGAGATATCTTTCATATTAAAAAAAATAAGCCTGAGAATGTTGCCTTGTTTTCAGAAAAGCAAAAAAGGGCATTTCCAGGCTACAAGTCAGAATTGGCAGGAAAGTTTGGTAAATATTTATTCAAAGCTGGTGAAACCTTTTCTACCGATTTCTTGGCACAAGACTTATCTGATTGTGAGCTTCAGTCTGAGTCTTCATATGAATATTCAAGTACTTTGTGTGAAGATGTTGCTTCCCTGAAAAGCTTTGATTCTCTCACAGGATGTGGAGAAATCTTTGCAGATGAAAGTTCTGCTCATATGGAATTGGAGGTCAGCAAAGAAATTTTGTTTAGACAATCTCACCAAAAAGAGAATCCTGCCATGGGTTCCTTTCAAGGTGGAGTAGAGCAGCTTGCTTCCCCAGCTCAAAATGAAGCAGCTGATTTTTCAAAACTTTGGGACAACATCAACAAATCTGTGCAATTGCACCAGAAGACACTGTTTGATAGGAGTTTGCTAAAAATACCTAGCAGTGAGTTGGAAAAAGCAAAGAAAGAAGCCAAAGGCTCAGTGGCTGACTTGCTTTCTTCTCCTGACTCTTCTAAAGACAGTTCCATAGATACGGGGACCCCAAAGAGTGACAACCAGGAATCTATGTCCACCAGTGATGAAGGATACTATGATTCATTTACTCCTGGGCATGATGATGAAATAAGGGAGGTTCAATCCCCTGGAACACCAACCCAGTTTCCAAGAGACAGTTATAGTGGAGATGCCCTATATGAACTATTCTATGATCCTAATGAAGATCAAATCAGCCCAGTTCTAGATGATGATTTATGCTTCTCTGAAAGCATTTCAGAAAAGGCAGTTGAGATACCTTTATCAATTTACAGCTTTCATGTAGGGTCAGAAGAAAATATGGCTTCCCAGCCAACCATTGACATAATCAGTCAGGGATTCCTTCACAGCACATGGAAGGGCAAAGAATGCTTGCTTAAGCTATGTGATACTGAACTTTCCCTGACCATGGGGATTATCAATTGGCTGCGAAAAAAGCCAGGACTGTTTTCCCCCCAAGAATTTCCTAACAATCCTCAGACAAAGATGAGAAAAGATGATGAGTCAGTGTCTCAATGCATCCCAGATTTTAAGGAAAATAAAAGCAATCCAGGGGCATCTTCAACTGATAGCAAAAGTGAAATCCAGATATATTCAGTAGAAAAAATTGAACATGATCAAAAGGATATCCATTCATGTAGCTTTCTAGAAAGAGAAGAAAATGTGAATGCCATGTCCGAGCTCATAATTAACAATGGCATACCAGGTGACAGACAAAGAGTAGAGGATAGTTGGGATGATCTATTGGTAAATTCATCTGAAATGAAGGTGTTTCTCTCAGAAGAATGTACAGATATTAGTATTGAATCTCTGCCATTAGAGGTCTCAAATGAAGATTCAGTTTGCCACATTGTTATGGATAATCATGATGCAGAATCATGTTCTTCTTACATGACTGCCGCAACTTCTCCAGATTCACTAGAGCCTGAAGATGACAGTGAATCAAAGAATGAATCCTGGTCTGTTGAATGTAAGGATCCAACGGAGCCATTGAGCTTCAGTCATTCTCAAGTTCCCATTAGTGAGACTTCAAAGGAGAATAATACTAACCCAATGCAGCTTTTAGAACATTGTGTTACTCAAGTTGCTTCTTTAAAGATCGGTTATGATTCTAAAAACAAGCCTTTCAAAGATAAAGGGACTGGAAATGAAATGAGCAACGATATAGCTCAATTTAAAAAACACCCCCAGTTGCAAAATGAACACAGTGACATAACCCCAAGGTCAAAGAATTTTCTTGGCCATCATGCAAATCAATATAATGTTCAAATAACAACTGATGCCAAGTCTTCATCTTTTACGAATCAGAAAGAAAATATAATTTGTTCTGAAGATGAGAAAAACTTAAGTATCTTAGATCGTGTTGGTCAAATTACAAAAAATAAACTGATGTTCGAATATGCTCAACTGAATAGTCAAGCCTTGTCTTATATTAAAGATTTCAGAGTTGAACTTAATACTCAGAATTCTTCTGCAATGTCAGACATTTGCAGGCCTACATTTTTACCATTCTTCAGTTCCATTTGCTCAGATTCAGCCAATCAATTTTCACAATCTTTCTGCAAAAGGTTCCGTTCATTGGGGAAGCATTCATACAATCAAGGGATTATACCAGCTGCCCTGCCCTTTAATGACTATTCAAAATTACATTGTAAAGTACTACCACAAGTTGCTTCACTTTCACTTTCAAAGGATGATGTCAAAGAGAGAACAATAATGGAGAAAAACCAAGAATAACTGGCTGAAATAAGGTGAGGTTTTGAGGTAAAATCAATGTTGCATTGAGGAAAAAATACAAATATTTCCTTTCCATTTATCTTGGCTAGCCAAATATTTTTAGGAATTCTATAACTGTTATGGCTTTATTCTTTACTCTCTTTCTGAAACTTTATTCCTCTCCTTATATTACATGGTTAAAATGAGATAAAAAAATAAACCACAAGAAATGTATTTATTTGCAACTACAAGTAATCTGTAATCTAGGTATTGTTACCCCCACATTAGACATTTATGACATAGAAGAAAATTCATTCTTCTGTAATTATTTTTTGCTTAATCATGTGGAAATGACTTATGTTGATCATTTGTAGAGTATATAAATCAAAAGTAATTTGACACATGCAATTATATTTCTATAATTAATGTTGAAACTAGGATTGTATTACACACACCACACACGCACACACACACATACACACACAATTTCTCATATTTTAACCAGTTCCCATTTAGCTGGATAAAAATTAAATTACTTTTTGAAATTTCTTTTAAAGAAGAAGAGAATTTTGGCTAAATTCATATGGGTAAAGTGTTATTCTAACTTTCTTTACATAAACATTTCTCCCAGTGTGCACCTTCTCTGGCTTACTACACATCAACATCCCTAGTCCAAAGCATTATTGATATCTAAAATGAAATATGCATTCTGTATAATTCAATGTTTACTGATCCTATTTCACAGCAAATATATCTTTTGTGAAAAACTGTGGGAAAAAGCAATTGTTGTTGCTTGTATTTGTGATTTTAATTACTAATTACTGTGTTTAAACATGCATGAAAGGACACATATAGTAAGTGTGCATATTATGACCTGACTGAGAAGGTAAGATCAAATCAAGTCTGTCTCATGACTCACTACATCATAGATACACACAACCCCTGCAAAGTGAGGGAGGGAGAAGTGGGGGTGGTTGTGGGGGTGGGATGGGGAGGTGGGGGATGGTTGTGTGGCCAGATGAGGATTCTTTCTTTGGCTATTTCCTGGTTTCTGCCTCCTGAATATGAATACAGAATATCACAGAGCATGCTCAGTGATCAACTAGCCAGCAACTTTCATAGAAGAGTAAAGAAAAAGCTATTATTTCATAGGTGGGAAGGGTATTAATTAATTTTAGAAATAAGAATGTTTTATTTAACAAGTGGCAATGGGAAATATACTGTATTTGTTTTAAAGAAAAATAAATTCTCAGTATAGATGGGAAGGAAATAATATGTCGAACTAAATCATTATTGATTTAATTATACATTTTTATTAACATCAACTAATTATTTTATTTTATTACACTTATATCTGCAGACAACTAAAACTTTATGAGGATCTCATAAATATATGATATCCTGATATACATATCATGAGATATGATATACATATCAGGAGAGATTGGAGGAACTGAATATGTATAGCCTGGAGAACAGAAGGGAAAGGGGTGACATGACTAAAATCTTTAAATATATTAGAGTGTGAAAAACATTCTGGAAGGCAGTATTTTCAATATTAAGCAAAAACAAAGAACACCAGGGTATAACCTCAAACTGACAGGAGCAAAGTTCAAAAGTAATATTAGAAAGTGTTACTTTACAGAAAGAATAGTGGAAACTTGGAACCAACTTCCAGCAGAAGTAGTGAGTCAATCATCAGTAACTGAGTTTAAACATGTTTTCGGATACACATCATGCGATAAAAATAAAACAAAAAATAAAATAATAAAATAATAATAAATTAATTAAAAAAAAACAAATAAACTCAAAGGGCAGACTTGATGAACCACTAGGTCTTTTTCTGCCGACACTTTTTTTATGTTTCTATATTTCTATTGGAGCCTGCAATAACTGTTCAGGAGAGGTACTGCAAACAGACATTATAGAACTTGGGGCATTTTCTAATATGCTCTTTTTTAGCAGCTGTAGCATGCCACCAGTTGTCAATAAAATTGCCTGTCAGTCAGTGCAATCCTATGACTAGCTATGCAAAATAAAACTTCTTGTTAGTGAGGCTTGTAGTTGTGTAAAGGACTGCAGTGTTAATGTTCCTCTCCCCTCCCTGCCCCACATTTTGTGTCTGAGAAAGGATACTGTGTACCCTAAGATTTGTTATAAATGCTCATTTAAAATGTTGACACAATCTCTGGTTACATCAGCATTTAATCTATTTAGTAATTTTAGTACATCACTGACTAATTTCTTCTGGATACCTGCTAATATTTCAACTAAATAACCTACACGTCAACAGGAATATTTGTGATATATCCAGATTTCAATTCGTATAGAGCTTACTTTTAGGATCACTTTATATAAGCGTTTTTCATTTACAATGTTTTGAATGTCTGTGCATATTTACACCTTAAGTACAAATATTAAGATTTTTTTTCTATTTTTTGTAAATTGTTTTATATTCTTACAAAGAACACATTACTTTGATGCCATTAATATGTTAATAATGTGTTTTTAGTCAGGAAAGATATCAGATGAAATGTAAGGGGGCTTACTAGTTAATAAATTTCTTTCTCAAAGCTGAAATACAATTGTGAACAGCAATCCAGATCTTACTTCTTAGCACATTTGGCATGTGCATTTGCTATTTATTTTCCATTTTTTAAAGAAAGGCTCAAAGTCTCTTCATAATGGAAATAAGAAAAATAATTTAAAATAATCTCAATTTATAGAAAAACATGAAGCTTAGCCACTGCTGCCAGTAGCTTAGAAGGGATCTCAGGTAAAAATGATAGCACCTTTTAAAACCACAAATGTACCAATTCATAGAAGTGCACTGGGAATAAAGACCAGGGAGCAGTCTTACCAATTTTCCTTGTGAGAAATTTGAAGATTTCTGACTGACTATCAATCGATGCAGCCATTTTGTGAATAAGGAATTCCATCATAATGGCAATTATTTTATGAAAAGATGTATAATAAACTAGTATTGCTCACTAGCCAAGAAAAGTTGTTTTTTTTCCTAAATTGCACCATGATTGTGCTATAACATGAAGTGTAGAAGAAAAACTAATGTTTAGACATGGATTGCACATAACTCTTCTCTGTACTCTTTCTAGAGTCTCAAAAGATGTTGAGACTCTATAAAGAATATAGAGAAGAGCAACAAAGATTATTAGGGGACTGGAGGCTAAAGCATATAAGGAAAGGCTGCTAGAATTGGGGAATGTCTAGTCTAATGAAGAGAAGGACAAGGGGTGACATGATAGCAGTGTTCCAATATCTCAGGGGCTGCCACAAAGAAGAGGGAGTCAAGCTATTTTCCAAGGTGCCTGAAGTTAGGACAAGAAGCAATGGGTGGAAACTAATCAAGGAGAAAAGCAACCTAGAACTAAGGAGAAACTTCCTGACAGTTAGAACAATTAACCAGTGGAACAACCTGCCTCCAGAAGTGGTGAATGATCCATCACTGGAAGTTTTTAAGAAGAGACTGGACAGCCATTTGTCCGAAATAGTATAGGGTTTTCTGCCTGAGCAGGGGGTTGGACTAGATGACCTCCAATGTCCCTTCCAACTTTATTATTATTATTATTATTATTATTATTATTTAGCCATAGATAATGGCTAAAATGATGATGATGATGATGATGATGATTAAAATCTGTATTAATGCAATTCTATAGTGTGATACACTATAGAAATGCATTAATACAGATTTTAATCATCATCATCATCATCATCATCATCATCATCATCATCATCATCATTTTAGCCTTTGTCTATCTACTGCAGGATAAAGGCCTCCTCTACATTTTCCCAACCTATATGGTCCTGAGCTTTCTTTTGCAAATTTGGCCGGCAATACTTGCTGATGTTGTTGATCCATCTTGTTTTAGATCTCTTTCATGGACATTTTTTATCATGGGATCTGCCTTGGTCCACCTGCCATCAGTTCTTCTTGCTATGTGACCAGTCCATTTTCATTTCAATTCTTTTCTCTCTTGATGATGTCATATACTTTCAATTGTTCTCTAATCCATGTGCAGATCTTTCTATCTTGACTTGTGATGCCAAGCATGTATCTTTCCATGTCTCTTTGCACCACTTGTAGCTTTTATATCGATTGTGAGGTTAGTGTCCATGTTTCACTGGCTTATGTTAGGGCAGGTAGCACACACTGATTGAAAACATTTCTCTTCAGACATAGGGGGAGGTTGTTCTTGAAAATTAAGCTTAGCTTGCCAAATGCCTGCCAATCACATTTAACAGGCGGTTCAATTTTCTTTATTGTATCACCTTCCATTGAGGTCCATTGGCCAAGGTATATTTAGTGATCTACTACATCTAGTTCTTCTCCAAATATAAAAAATGTCTTTCTTTAGTGAATTTATTAAATAGCTTTTAATATAGCTTTTAACAGTCCTTTTTTTCTAAAAAAAAAAAAGGTGCCGGAACTCACACACATCATACAACCCGCCTTGCCTACCCTCCAAGGTTCCATCCAAAAAAGGTGCCGGAACTCCGTTCTGGGCGTTCTATGAGAAAAAAAGCCCTGGCTTTTAATATAGTTTTTAAAATAAAATTTAATTTTAAATATAATGGTAACATAATTTTAATATATTTTTCCTCTAAGATTCAGATTGAAACTGTAAATTTTGTTCTTAATTGCCAATACATATACTATTTAAAAATCCAATAAAATTACAATAAAAGTAGCAAAAATATATGGAAGAGTTCTAGATACTTAGGAAACAAAAAACATTTATTTCTACATTGTTGATGCTACTTGGTCTTCATTAAATCATTACTTCTGGGGGAAAAAAATACAGCTTCCTGGTCAATAGTACAAAACTTTTATTTATCAGCTAATGAGGTATTTCTCAACCTTTGCAACTTTAAGATGTGTGGCTTTTAAATTGCTGGCTCGGTAATTCTGGGGGATGAACTCCACACAACTTAAAGTTATTAATTTTGAGAAACACTGAGGTAATGCCTATGTTTCAAGCAGCTGCTAAAACATAAGAGCAAGGTTCAGTTTTAAAAGCTGGTAACTGCACTTTCTAATAGCACTTTCTGTAGAATATAGCTCAGGTTATATATATGGCGACACATAAGGTAGTCAGGTCCATTCACTTAGGTCCCTTCAGCATAGGAAGATTTGCTTCAGCATAGGAAGTTTCTGATAAACCAAAATCCCTGATGATGCAGCAAATTCTATTCATATCCAAGTATATGCACAGCTGTGGATAGAGGGGTGCAGCTGGTATGTAAAGCAATGTTAAAGGTGGGGATTCTGTATTTTAACATTGTATCTGACATCAAATGCTTTACCCTGATAATGATTTGATACAGGACACACATTTCTGCTATAAGCCTCAGTTATTATCTTTTGACTAGAAAAGCTGTATTGATCAGTGGTAGGCCCAAGGCTCTGAGAGTAATTTGAATGTCAACTAGCATCTGCCCAGAAAGAAAAAAAAAGATGCTAGATTAAACAATTTTATACTTCATTAAACAGCACTCTTTCAGCACTGGTTTTGACTCATCATATTGCCAGCATCTAATCTGTTCACTGCTTGCCATTCCTGTAATATTTCTCCTCTCTAACCTGGCTAAAGGACGTTTAAAATAGGATTTCCCCGAAATTGGGAAATTATGGAGATTATTGTAGCCCCTTAACTGTAATCCAACCCTTATAGTGGTCAAGGACAGAATGAAAAAGAAATGCATTATTGCAGCCCTTTCTCAAAATAACTCCTTGCATCTCCATGCAAAAGCAAGTTTCCATGGTGACATGTTTAGAGGGTTGGCTTGGCAAACTCAGACAGTACTTCACTAAACAGTTGCCACGGATTTGAAATCAGGGTATGTTATACACTCCTTCTCTTTCTTTTGGAAAATATGCGTTCAAAATGGTATGTGGCAATTTTATTTAAGGAATGGGGGGTACAAATAGCAGAAACAGAGTTATCTTTATATTAACATAATTGAGAACTGAGCAAAAGAGTAGATCTTAGCTGGAGACTGATACTCCACAGACTTTCTTTTCATTCAAATTAAATATTTTTTAATGAATTAAAGCCATAGCATTTACTTACAGATTATTCAAAATAGGCTGCCATCAACTCAAGAATTTTGTAAGACAAATAAAGGGCATGGAGGAAATTTACTGTTTTGTGGCTGATTGTACAACCCATGAAAATGGGAATGATGGAAAAGACAAATTGCCTGAGGCATATCCTCTAGTCCAGTGGTTCTCAACCTTTTTAATGCCGCGACACCCAACCGGTCGTAAGTCGCGGACTACTCAACCGATCGTAAGTCGAAGACTACTCAACTGGTGCAGCACTGTTTGCAGACTGGGACTTTTGGCGGGCTTAGCAGGGCAGAGACAGCCTGGACAATTCCTATTGGCTTTTGAAAGCCAATAGAATTAGACTCTATTCAAGAGTTCTATTCTATTGGTTTTCAAAAGCCAATAGAATAAAAGGGAGTAGCACAGCTAAGGAAAAGGGGGAAAAAATGGCGGACTGCGTTTTTTGACGACCCCCGTGAAATGGTCATTTGACCCCAAATAGGGTCCCGACCCTAAGGCTGAGAATCACTGCTCTAGTCTAATAGGAGATGCCAAATTCAACAAAAACATTATTATGTTTTGCAATTCAGAGATTTCTGAATTGTTTTAATTAATTTTTAAACTTTTTTCTAAAAAGTATATGTGTTTGAATTGAAGCTATCTAGGAAGATAATTATGTACAAATTGCATTTTAGGAAGTTAAATTGTTTGTAAAAGTATAAATAGTGGCAAATTATATAACAAAATGTAAATGCTAAGACAAACACACAAAAAAATGGATATACATCTTCATGATAATTTTTAAGAAACTATAGATCTTTTTAGAAATAGGATTGAATATGTTAAATTGATTTTTTTTATTTAAAGAAAAGAATATATCTGATTCTGATTTCATTTAGGAGCTACTTCTGGATTTTGTGCTTGTGCTGGAAGGAATGAAACTTTGATGTTGGTTTTACTGATCAGATAGGTTCATCGTTATATAAATAGCTAGTATATATTACTGTGTAAAAACAAAAAGTTGAGGCTATAATGTTATTATCTTCTACTGTGCTAAAAAGAGACAGAAGTCAATTTTTTTTTCAATTTCCCCTTCTACTTCACACTCTTTTGTCTTCCCTTTTGCCTCCCATAGTTTTCATTATTTTTTATTTTCTTTTGTATTTTATATTCTGATAAGATAATAAAATTTAATAAAAAAGAAATAGGGTTAAATAAACAATTAAAACAATTAAATGAAAACAATTAAAAACAGTAAAAATGGAAATTTATTGGGTTGTTGGGATCTGGCTGGGGAAGAAAAATGTCAGGCTAATAATGTTAGAGAAAAAAGTGCCAAGTAATCAGAGGCATAATGAATTGCTTAGCTCCATTTTTCATTGCGGTTCTAAATATATTACATTATTATCCATATTGTGTATTCAACAATATTAGAAATTGTGGAATGTAGTAGCAAAAGTTGCTTGTCCCCCTCTATTTTTTTTTGAAGGGCTACAACTATATAAACAAGAAGCCACCACTGCTATAGCTCAACCTGAGGAAGAAGCTGGTATTATAGGTTCCATAGTATACAGGTGGGATATATTTGTTAGGGCACAGACCTTCATCATTTATACTATTGGACCATTTTTTCACTTCACTTATGTATGTAGTAAATGGTATATTTTGAAAATGATACAATAAAATAGATGTTGATTAATTTAACATTCTTCACTGAAACCATGCAATTGTAGAACACAGTTCCTCTATCACTTGTCCTCATAATATATTAATCACAATATTCTTGAAAAATTCCAAGCTGGAAAAGTTGTCTTTTAAAAAGCTGTATAATAAAGAAATACTGTATGTTCTTCATATTCCAGGTACAACTTTAAAGAAAGCTGCTCTTCCTCTACATTCTTTAAAAGTAAATTTCTCATCAAGTGAGGTAAGAAATTGGCGACCCAATGACAGAGAACTAATGAAGATGCAACTGTGGATAATCATGTTCCTCTTAATCTCCTACCAGAAGAATTTGGATTTAAATGACCATAGTATATTCTTAACATCTTGTTATTTTATTCATTGAATGCATCTGACAAATTAAAGGTGACAACTTGTCTATAGGGAACTGAGTCAAATGTAAATATTCCTTTTATTTTTAGAATATAGGTATATCCTTTCCTCATAATTCTCTTTACTGTGGGCAATTTTGGGAGATTTCAGAACATGTAAGTATTATGCCATGATACCCTATTAAAAGCAATGCCTCAGCCCAGTTAAGATTGTTGTTATGTGTACAAAGGATGCAAATGAATGTATTCCTAAATGTATAAGGATCTCTGCATGCAAATGAGTGCTTTATTCTGGAATTTAGGCGGTTGTTCTAGCCCAGTGATGGCGAACCTTTTAGAGACCAAGTGCCCAAACTGCAACCCAAAACCCACTTATGTATCGTCGGGTGCCGGGTGGGCGTGCCCCATTGGGTGGGTGTGGCCCATTGGGTGGGCATGGCTGCGGTGGTAACGGCAGACTGGGTGGGACCAAAAAGTTCAATCAATCAATTCCAACTTTGTGAGATCTTTTTTTTTCCTGCGAGAAGTTGAAATTGATTGATTGATTGAACCTTTTTTTTTTTGCACACAGCGGCGGAGGCCTAAAGCGAAAAGGTTTTATAAAACCCAGCTGAAGGCCTAGGACTGGGCCGAGGGCGCATGTGCCCACAGAGAGGGCTCTGCGTGCCCCCTGTGGCACACGTGCCATAGGTTTGCTACCACGGCTCTAGCCACTATCCAGATAGAATAACTCCACAAAATGGTAACATGCAGAATATTTATTGATCAGGAATTCTAAGCATTAACTCACAGTTGTTGAAGATACATCTGTCACATTATTCATATTCTGTTCATTTATGCAGGTAAAAAGAGAATAATTTTCCTCCATCTTCATAAAGATCACATGCTGCTTTGGTTACATTTTCCCCATTCTAGGGAGCTCCTAGCCTCGTGGCTAGGATTCATGGAGAAATAATAAAACTGGCACATAACAGGATGTCTCGTAATAAAAGACCCTCCCAATGGCCAATTAGAACACAGATATAACCAGGTAACAACTAAAACTACATTTCCCAGAAAGCCATCTCTTAAGGAGACAGCTTTTAACCCTTAAAATGCTACTTGCTCTACACCACAGCTCTCAACTTCTAAGCTAGCTATATACTGGACCAGCACATGCTTCATAGCTTTTTCACATAGCTGCTGAGAAACAAGAGCCAATATGATGATAATCAGCAATGGATCTGCATCAGGTTTTCACTTTCCTTATTTCTTTCCTTTCTACCACAAATGGCTGATACAGTTCTTGATTGTACTTCAGCTCACAAATGAGTCTTTTTTCTGATCAGGGAAGTACTCCTAAAGAGCCATGGCAATATGTATGTAACATTGGATTAAAGACCATTTTCCATTGAAATAGTTTAATACTATTGGTTATATGATGATTCACCATTGTGCCTGATTTTAATCATTTGTGCCCATATGTTTTCATCTACAATAGTATATTTTGGAATACAGCTAAGGTGCCCTCTTCAGGCCAAACTGCTGTATACATGTCAGCCATTACAGTATTTAAAAACCCATCTCCTGAATTTGATCGGAAAACTGGGATGGAGAATGAGATTCAAGCAGTAAATGTATATGTGAGCACTTCCCTCCTACTGTATATGCACTCTTGACGTTTCTTGGTGTCATCTTCTGCCTATTTTTATCTCCATCTATCTCACTTCCCATATCAGAATCTCTTTTGGGAAGAGTGTGCTTACTGTAGTTGGATTTAAAAAACAAATGCCAGGACACTATCACATGTTATGGGAGCCAGTGACATAGCAGTGAACATTGGGAGGTTGGAGGCAGCTGCAGAACAATTCTATGTTCTTATTTTAAAAGCACTTTGTACTCAAAGTTTGGTCATCTGGGCAAGAGCATGATTACAGATGTTCATTTTATTTCTTAATTTTTTTTTATAATATCATTTTTGGTATCAGAACGTGGTGCCTACTTCCAAGAGAGTTAGATCTTATAACTAAAGTTGTACCTATTGCTGTCTAGAGGAGTTTATTGTAAGAATCTAAGATTATCTAGATGCCTCAATGGCTGGGAGAAAAGTGTCTCCTGAGAGGTAAGTTGTGAGTTTAGTTTTGTACTTCAGAACTGGCACCATTTTTATTCATCAGAACCTTCTTTGGATATGATCTGGCTTGTTAAATATGATGAATTGTAAATAGAATTTCTGTTGCCATAAAGTCTTCCTTAAAGTGGAAGGAGAATGTTCTGCAAGAGGTTTCAGATCCAGCATGGATTTACAGTGTTGTACTAGTTTCAGTCATACAGGATATAATATTTCTTTCTATAATATCAGCCAATTCTAACACGATTAAAGAAATTACATGTGAAACAGCAGCAGTAAAAAGATATGTGCACAGACAGAATGTAACTCAAATGCTGCTTTGGAGCTCGGCAACAGTTATGACCCTGTTCCAATTCATGTGCCAGATTTTCTCTGGATATAAAAGAAAATTCATGCCAAGCCTACAATATCTGAATGTTCACTTAATGTTGCAATATGTTTTGCATTGGAAGGAATGCATTCTCAGGACACTAATCTTTTTCTCTACTGTGTTAAAATAGTCTACATCCAAACTAAAGTTTAAAAAGTTACAAGATATAGCTTGGATAAATGTTTCTTCTGAGGCACAGAAGTGTCATAGTGCTTGCAAATATCTTTTTTTAGTCTACTTCTGCTTTTGCTTCACTTCATTTGATTAATTTTTACAGTATATATTATAGAGGAGCCTCTTTCCTGAACCAGAAACTTAGTACTTTTAGTTAGGGTTCTCCAGACTTAGAAAAATTACAGCCAAAACAGAGATTTTTTTCTGAGTATTCTACCTCATATTCCAGCATAGTTGGTCATTGGATGCTTCAGCTGATTAGAGATTGGGAATGGTGTTAGCTTTTTTCTAACTGGTCTGCCTTATCAACTTTTGGTTATGTATGGTTTGAATTACCTGAATGGAGTAGAGTGAATCCAGTTCCATCTATTTGTTGATGGCTCCTTTATTTCAATGCCAGGCTTCCAGGAATTCTCTGACTTTTTGGCTGTTGGCATGTTTACTTCTCTTTCTCAGTCTGGATAACCCAACTAAAAATATGAATACAGTAATGAATCTGGGCTAACTTCATCCCAAGAAATCACTAGTAACTTCTTCAGTACAAAATTTTGCATAGCATATTTAGAATAAGGATGATGTTTTGAAGTTAACTGTGTATGTTATGCTTACTGAGTATTCCACTTTACAAAAATGTTGTTAGTTGGCTTAAGCACTATGTAAATAAATACAATTTTATCTCAGAATGTCTATATAACATTTGAACTATTTTCCTCATGTTGTATCAAATGTATAAAATTATACTTGCTGTATTACAGTGATTACTTACATTGCATATCCATATTACTTGATGTTTGTTTTAAGATGATTTTGATGTTTGTTTTGGACATTATTTATAATGTGCCTTTGTCTCTGTCATTATTCAATAACTGCCAGTACTACTAATTATTCTTATTATTATTTCATGAAGATGTCCATTTTATATTGAAATAAATATTGCCTATTTATTTCTGCCATTATGACAAGTGAAGAAACAAATTCTAGGTGAATGCAGTAACATGACTGCCAAGCAAAATATGAGAATAAATATAAATAGTGGTAATAGTGGTAACTGTTTTTTCATGTGATAACATAGAGAGGAAATTGGAGGTCCAGCACTATGGCTCCCATAAAGAGTTACAGAGAGCTTCTTTTTTCTGGCAGAGAGAATGTGTACAAGCTGATATCTTGAATATTCCTGGACAGTGGACATATTAGTCATCTCCATCATCTTCAGCCTGCATATGTGCATGAATGAACAATTTCTGTTGGGAATCTTCATGTTTGCTGGTTATTGTATATAGTCTTTTTTTGGCACTAAAAACATTGTATCTGATACATTTTTAAAATAGTTGTCTAAAATATCCATATTCCAAATTCCATTGATCAAGGAAACAATATTGTCTGAACAGTCCACAATATGAATGAGAGCACACATGCTTTCTTGCATTCATACATTTATGAATCATTCATTTATGAATCAACTTTCATCATCTGTACCATATTTATTTCTATATCTATATAATCAATCTTAAAAAATGTAGTAAGAGAGGAACTGAAATGATTACTCTTTTCTCCAGAAGCCCAAAGTGATAGTGTCTTCTCCAATTTTATCTTCAAAAAAGTCCATATGATGATGTAGGATAGGCTGAGGGATATATCACTAAGTAGGGAATTTGTATTTGAATTTGAATTTGTATCAGCCTAATCCCAATCCATTCCCAATTATTATTCCAAACAACTTTGGATATGACAGGATGAAATTCGTTTATATTAAGGTACTAAATAGTTAATGGTCAAAACCATTGAGAGGCATGATAAAGCACCTATATTATTTTTTAAAATTTATATATTATTTATTAAAACATTTAAAAGGATAGAATAAATAGCTAGATAAAAGACTTAAAAGAGACATAATGGATAAAGTATAAAATATCAGTAAATATCCAAAGAATTTCCAATTATCATAAAATTTAAAATGTATTGTTTTATTCATTAATTAAATATATAAAATTAAGTTCATTATGTCATTTTAAGAAATAAAAAGAAATATCTATATAATTGTAAACATGATATTAACATTGATATCATCACTATTTGTCATTATTATAAAAATAGATGCACATAATCATGTAAAGGGAAAAGATAAAAAAGTTGGAAAAAAATAAAAAAGAAAAAAATGAAAAAGAAAAACAATAAGTAAAAACAGTGTTCCTAAACTAGATAGTTTTAAATTTCTTTCATTGAACCTGACTGATGCATTAACATCTTTACAAACATTGAAATTGTCCTAGTTACTGTTAGTTATTTTTCTCTTAAAAAACATACTGTATTCTAAGTAAGAGTTTTCCTTGTATGACATATGATCCTTTCTCGCTTAAATTTAGCCAAACTTTCATTCTGAATCTATACTGTTAATTTTTCCATTGATTGGTCTATAATTTTTAACAATAGACAATTATTTTTGAGAACTGCAACCATCTCTCGCTCTCTTTTTTTCTCTGTCCCCCTCCCTCCCTCTCTCTCTACCTCTATCCTCCTCCCTCTGTCCCTCTCACACAAAGTATCTAGTGAGGCTATGAGAACTGAAAGAGTTAACACTTGCTAGGTTTGCTCTCAGGTTCACAACATTCTGACATAAGTTAATTATTGGTACTATCCATAAAAAAGGTCTGGACTCCCCAGCCCTTTTACTATGTATATTACCAATAATTAACTAATTGTATTTTTTGTAATTGTATGACTGTATTTTGATAATATCAAATTTTGTGCAATTTCAAAAATACAATGAGATATAGATAGGACAAACATAAAGATAGCATGACAATATTGGAATTGGGTTCTCTGCTATTTCCATATGAAGAACAAGAATGCATGATGCGCGCACACACACACACACACACACACACACATAAGGGTAAGAGTGGGAATTGTTGAGTTGTTGCCATTGCCTTTTAAAAATATAGATAATACTATAATGTGCTCATATTTTCTGTATGAACATGAATTTGTCAACATAAATTATGTAAATAATCTCTCCCAGATTTTCAAAGTCCATCATCATAGCCACAACGTTAGCCACAATAAAGGACAAAAAACTAAGGATGTGTATTGTAAGTTGTGTGTGTCCATCCTTCATCAAACAATATTCTTAAATATATAGATATTTATATAAAACATCAACAGTTATTTTAAGTATTGTTCATTAGTGAGTACTTTATTCTAGCACTTCTTGCTTCAATTATTAGCAAATGTATTGAACCAAGATGTTCATTAGTAAACTCTGATATATTGAGCTACCCTTTAAAACTTACATATTTTGCTTGCAAAACTCACTCTCCTGTAACAATTGTTATATCTCTTATTATTCACTCACGGGCTAAAGATTTTCAGGAATCAGATGATACAGTTCAATACCTTTAGATTTTGGTTGTAATGTTATATGTTTAGATAGCAAACTGTATTACTTAACATGCTTCAAAATGTGATAAACCATGCTTGCAGAATTTAAGGAGTCTTCTGCTTTTTCTGTTAGGCGAAATACTTGACTTTTGGTTCCAAATTCTGCTCTGATGGCATGTGCTCACTGAAAAAATAACTAATTTTACATTGCTTTGATTTAGCAAACTCAAGTTCAAATGTCAACAAATTTAAAAATGGCCATACTTAACATACAACAAAAGGAATAACAGGAGTTTAGCTTTAGAACGAACTGTGTTTCAAAAAAGGAGAGTTGATAAGGATGATATGAATCTGTTTTGCTTTTTAAAGTCAGACCAATGATAGAATAAATAAAGGATGGGCTGAATGTGTTTATTTGCATGAACCAGCATGATTTTATATGCATGGTAAACATTATTCTATATTATCTTCCAGCATAATCTTAAGAAAACTTTTAAGTTAAATGACATTTGATGTATTTTGAATCATATCACTAATTAAATTAAATGCTTTACAGTTGCTTATGGCATTAGATTTGCCTTGCATTTAATTAATTCTAACATAAAAAAACCAAAACAAATATTTTGAAGACTCCATACTTGAATCTTTGTCTCTATTTACATAATGTACCGTATTATGTATATAACTATCTACACAATAAATTCATTGGTACATTTGTAGCAATAATTTGAAGGCCTCTATTATTTTATAATTTTGAACTATGTTTTGAATATGTTTTTTATGATATGTTTTTTAACAAATAAATGGATGATTCACTTCCTTAGTGTATCTGTGGCTTTTTTTGTCATACTTGCTTAGTACTACCTTTCTTCACAACTGAATAGAATAACTTTTCCAATAACCAAATACTTTCCAAGTTTGTTGGATTATATTTCCCAACCTACCCTTTCAGGCTGCTCCTTTGGCTATGAAAATATTGATAACATTTTGAGGACACCATGTTGGAGAAATAGAGAATATAAGATGCCACATACAATGACTGGGTTTCCAGCATACTAATTCTTGATTTATTTACCAATAGTTTGTTATATTAAGCCATAATTCATGATTTACAAACTACGAAGTTTCAACCAATGTTAATTCAAAAACAAGGACACCAAATAATGTTTTAACATATTCATAATTTTCCTCAACATTTCTAAATTGGAATGTTATTTTTGACTTTGAAAATGTGTGAATCCAGACTGTCATTTATGAAGTGGCTTATGGTTAAGCATACTATGTGAATCTAGATAACTGTAGTGTTTCAACAAATTATGGTTTAGCACAAAATGGGAATCTAGTCTATGATTCTAGTAATACACATATCTATATTTACATCTGCCTATTCCTTGATTTGATTATGTCAGGTACACTTAATCGGTGTTCGGCATAATATATACATTAGTAAATAGGAAAAACAAGCTACATGAAATTGTTAGAGAAGCCCTCAGTATAGAAAAAACATTTTTATGAGAATACTATCATGTGAATTAAAATATCAAGTATTTGAAGCCTGTAACTGCAACTCTTTCTTTGTGTTTTGTTTATATCCTCATCTGGTTTCACAATAATGGTTGCAGCAATTCTGTCTCACAATTCCATGCAGTTAGCATGAAAGGTGGCATTCATTAGAAAAGAAAATCACATTCAAGCAATCAGTTGATGGTAACCAGTTGAAAGGAATGAGAGAGGAATGAAATCCATTATTTTGCATCATTATAACCTCATTATCAAAAAAGAGGCATCACTGAACAAGATAATAAGTGGAGCAAAGAAGAGTGTGCCTCTGTAATTCAGTGTGGGAATGTGACAAATTTTCCACTGAAATGAAACAGTGAGTATTTGTTTAAGCAGAGAGTTTGATAATAGATCAGGAAAAAAGGCACCTAGTGAGAGAATCTGAAGCAACCAAATCTGAAGAAACCAAAACAAAGAAGCAAAGAGAGTCAAAGCTTGCAATGCTTATGGCATGTCTGTATTTGTGCCCAAAAAGTATTGGCCATATATTTCCAAATATGTGGCATTCTTTGGAAAAAAGTAAAGGATCACAGCAGCAAGACTATAAGATTTATCCCATCAAAGAGGAATTGACAAAGAAGGAATTCTCCTTAGGGAAAAGAATCAAATAAAGGAGGAACTTAACAGTTTCCAAGTCCTCACAGAGGAAATAGGCTGTGAGCCTTCAAGAGAACAAAAAAGTAAAAGTAAAGAAGGTACTAGACTCTTAAAGGCCAGAAGGATGTAGTAAAGTGAAAATTTTTGTAATTGGTAATTCTCTATTATGAGGTATCAAAACAACTAGACCTGTTGGCTTATGAAATGTATTCTCTTTCAGGTATAGGAATCAAAAATATGAGAATTTCTAAGTTCTTATTAAATCTAGCAACAATTATTTTCCCCCTTAATTTATGTGGAACAAATGATATTATTAGTGTTGAGTCCTCAGCTTAATGGCAATAATTCACGGAGCATCTCGTAGATTCAGAAAGCCTTTATTGTTGTTCTTCAGCTCCGTTACAGCTCTGAGGCACGCAAGCCTCTCTGCCTCTCTTAAGAGCAATCCCCGGGCCGAATGGCAACATTTGGCACGCTCCGCGCCTTGCGCATGTGCGCGAAGCCAGCACCAGCCAGTCTGGTCCCGGGCAGCTTGTAACTGCCTGGGACCATTGCAACGTCCCAAGCCTGCCTTTGCAGGCTCAGGACACAACACCCCTTCCTCCCCGGCTAAGACTAACAACTACATGAATAGTTACACGCAACCTCAACACGAGCATGGTGTGCCAACCCCTGCTCCAATGATACCGGGCTATTCTGGAGATTAATACCCAGTGCCCGTATTTTCCATTTCCCAACAAGAGGCACCCTCTCACTGTTTCTGCTTTGCCAGCAGAGTTACAAAATCTTCAAGGTACTTAGGAGATCTCTTAACTCTCTGTGATCTCCTTAGACCCTGATAATCCCCAATTACATTCTGCCCGGAGGATGACATGGGTTTGCCCCCTTTTTCGGACCCTGGTGGTTCCCATGGACCGTGCCCCGTTGCCTGGTCTGCTTGCTTGCCCACCGGGCTCGACAGATCAGGACTTTGTTCTCCCCATAACCTGGTTGACCTGCCTAGTTGCAGGCTCTCTGGCCCCTCTATAAAACTGCCACTGTTGGGCAACTCTGTAGAGCCTTCCAGGCCCATACTGGACCTATCAAGAGGCTGCATTCCTTCACTCCCCAGTTCCGTAGTAGGACTGTCTGGGGTTCCAGTACTTCCCCAAAACTCAGTTGCCCCCCCATCTATGCCGGAGGTGTCAGAATTGGGATTTGCCCCTCCGACCACCTCCCTGTGTGAATGCCTCCTTCTGGAAACAGTAGCAGTGCTGGGCCAACTAGACTGTTTGTGTGCCAGCTCTCTTGCAATGTTTGAGTTATTAGGATGCTCCCGGTTATTCTCCCTGACTGGAGTGCTGAATGGTATTAGTGGATGATGAGTATGCTCCCTGGGTGACTCCCTGGCTGGAGTAGGCACTGGTGCCTGTGTGCTACCTAGTTCCCACGAATTCCTGTTTGGAACACTTGCGGAATCTTGGGATAGGCCGTCTGTGGCCTCTCTGTTGGGGCCTGGCTGCTGCCAACACCCATCCCTTTGCCCATAGAGTTCCCCTTCCCCCCCTGGAAAAAAACCAGGAGTTTCTGAGGGTAAGTCCAGTCTTGTACACAGTTGGTCAATATGCCGCCGCAGGATACGACCGTCATCCAACAAGACCTCATACGACAAGGGACCTGTAACCTTGCATACTACAGCAGGAACCCACAAGTGACCTGGCCTGTAGTTACGGGTCCATACTGGGGCACCCACTTGGAATTGCCTCGGTGCCCTGGGTTGTGTAATCTTAGGAGGCAGTCTGTCCGGGTGCAACTGGTCAAGTTTAGTAATCAGTTTGCGCCCCCAGCGAAGTTCAGCTGGGCTTTTTCCAGTAGAAGTTGAAGGTGTGGTGCGGTATGCAAGAAGAAAGTCTGCCAACCTGTGGTGCCAGTCCCCATAGGTCAGTTTCTTTAAAGCATCCTTGGTGATGCGGACCATCCGTTCAGCCATACCGTTGGTGGAAGGGTAGAAAGGTGCAGAGGTGGCATGACGAATCATGTTGGCCTGTAAGAAAGCTTGGAAGTTGGAAGAGGTGAATTGAGGGCCATTGTTAGACACCAAAACATCCGGAAGCCCATGTGTAGCAAAAATCCCCCTCAGTGCTTGAATGGTCTTTGCAGTGGTGGTTGAAGAGACAGGTACAACCTCAAGCCACTTTGAATATCTATCAACCAGGACCAAGAAGAATTGACCCTGAAAGGGCCCAGCGTAATCAATGTGCACCCTAGACCACGGTGACTGTGTTTCCTCCCATCTATGCACAGGAGCCTGGGGCATTTCTGGGCGTGAGCGCTGACAAAGGTGGCATGCATGCACCTTAGCCTCAATTTCCTTGTCTAACCCAGGCCACCACAAATGGCTGCGTGCAAGTGCCTTCATTCTTACAATGCCAGGATGACCCTCGTGAAGGGAACCTAAGACCCTAGACCTCATTGAGGTAGGAATGACAACTCTGCTGCCCCACAGCAGACAACCCTGAAATGTGGATAATTCATGTTTCTTAAGCCAGAAACTCTGAAACTCAGTACCTGGACAGCTCTCTGGCCATCCAGACAAAACCCAGGATAAGACACGAGAAAGTGTGAGATCCATGGCTGATTCAGCAGCCACATCCCTGGCATTTAAGGGTGACTCAGGCAGCGTCTGAATGGAAAGGATGTTGATGGCAGGGGCGGGGTCAGCCTCCACTTCATGTAAAGGTAATCTGCTGAGGCCATCAGCATGGCCCATTTCTTTACCAGGTTTGTGAATTAAAGAAAAATCATAGGCTGACAGAAAGATGGACCATCTTAGCATCCTAGGGGATATGATATGGGGGGTTTGCTTGTTTGTAGTAAACAACCCCAACATAGGCTTATGGTCAGTGTAGACCGTGAAATGCCTGCCATATAGAAAATCATGGAATTTTTTAATCCCTGCAACAACAGCCAAGGCTTCCCTGTCTATCTGAGCGTAGTTTCGCTCAGCAGAAGACAAGGTTCTGGAGTAGTATGCAACAGGAACCTGAGTTCTATCAGACCTTAGATGGCTAAGTACAGCTCCCACCCCATAAGGGGAAGCATCACAAGCGATGCACACAGGGAGAGTTTCATTAAAATGTGCAAGCACATTGTTGGATGTGAGTAAGGCCTTAACCTCACTGAAGCTTGCTTCATGTGCTTGTGACCACTGCCACACTGCCTGTTTGTCCAGAAGCCTATGAAGTGGTTCAGCTACATTAGCTTTGTTAGGAATGAATGCATTATAGAAATTCAAGAGGCCCAGAAAAGCTTGTAGTTCAGCCTTGGACATAGGCCTAGGAGCTTGCATGATAGTCTTTAATTTGGACTCAGCAGGGTGAATCCCATTGGCATCTATTTTGAATCCCAGGAAGTCTGTAGAAGGCACCCCAATTTTACACTTGTCTTTTTTTAGCTTGAGGCCTGTTTTCCGGAACCGCAACAGAACAGCCCTCAATCTCTCAGCTAAATTTTGAGTGGAGTCTCCAGCTATTAAGACATCATCAAAATAGGGGCAAACCCCTGGTATACCCCTCAAGGTATTTTCCATTATGCTTTGGAAAATTCCAGGAGCCACATTTACTCCAAATTGTAGTCTTTTGACTTTGAATGCCCCTCTGTGTGTTACAATGGTTTGTGCTACAGCAGCAGCTTCATCAACAGGTAACTGTTGATAAGCCTGCACTAAATCTAGCTTAGCAAAAACCCGCCCCCCCTTGAGGGAGGCCAGAATATGACTGACTACAGGTACAGGGTATGCATGCTGTTGCAATGCCTTGTTTAGAGTGCATTTGTAATCTGCACAGATGCGAATGTCCCCGTTAGCCTTAAGAGGTGTGACTATGGGAGTTTCCCAAGGACTGGAGTCAACAGGTTCTAAGACTCCTTGCTGAATAAATTTGTCCAATTCAGCATCAATTTTCCCTTTTAAAGCAAAATGTACTCTCCTTGCTTTTACTCTGATAGGAGTGACAGTGGGGTCTAATTTTAAAGAAACTGGGGGTCCTTTGTATGTACCCAACTGTGGGCTGAAGACATCTGCAAACTCTTTGCAGACTTCTTGTAGACCTACTGTTTGCAGGCTGTTGAGCCCTGTGACTTGTATTCCCAAGGCCTCAAACCAATCGAGTCCTATGAGACTCATGCGCTCACCCCCAACTATCAACACATCTAATGGACCTTCAAAATCCTTATATTGTACGTTAAGGGTGGCCTCCCCCTTAACACACACTTTGGAGTTTTGAAAGTCTGTTAGAACTATATTGGAAGGCCTAAGCTTGGCCTGAAACCCACTGCTAGAACAAATCTTTCTGAATGTGTGTATGGAAATAATTGAAAGTGCAGACCCAGTGTCTAGTTCCATGACCAATGGAACTCCTTGCAACTTCACCTTAAGTGACAGTTTCTTTTTTAGTGGCTTGTGTGTGCCTGTCCTATAGATGCTTCTTCATGAAGCACAGAAACTCACCCTGTTTTGGCCTGGGACCCTGGTACCTTTCAGGCGCAATTCTTCTTGGGGTTGTACCTTCTGACGGCCCAGACACACAGCTGTGATGTGGCCTTGCTTTCCACATGCTCTACAGATAGCAGAGCGAAACCTGCAGTCGGTCCTCTTGTGGCGACCACCACACCCGAAGTACTTGGGTACAGCTGAAGACTTTTCTTTGCCTTCCTTCTGCTTCCTTTCTTTGGTTGGGTAGAGATGATCCACCTCTTCTTCAGGGTCCTCTTCCGAGCTCTCCTGGACTCCCTCATGGTGCACGGAAACAGCTTCTGGAGTATTTCTGATAGGCCTCAAATTCTTGATTGCCCCACCTGCTGCCTCTTCTGCAGTAACCTCTCTCAAGGCATCTTGGAATGATATGTCTTCTTTAGCAAAAGTCTCTGCTGCAAGTCTCTGTTTCTCAGCTCACATACAAATCTGTCTCTCAGCCTTTCTTCTAAGTCTTTAAACTCACAAGTCTTAGCTGCTCTTCTCAACGCTGCAATGTATTCTTTAGCTGATTTACCAGCCCGTTGATCCCTCTCTTGAAAAGTATGTCTCCATGCAATAACAGACAACTTGGGCTGAAAATGTTCTTTTAGTAATTTTTTTAAATCTGTGTAGGTAACAGATTCAAGAGGTACAGGGGCTGCTAAATTTTCAGCAATTTCAAATGCATCTTGACCACAAACACACAGCAAAGTAGCGGCCTTTAAGCCATCTTCTCTCACTTGGTTTACTCTGAAATAGTTTTCTACTCTGGCCACATAAGACTCCCATCTTTCTGGGTGCGTAACATCAAACTCAGAAAGTCTTCCTATCTTCGCCATTTTCTCTGTAGTACGGAAAGGGTCTATCAGCCAGCTTACCTCCAACGACGCTGTATTGGCAGGCAGTTGCTGAATTTAACGCCGTCTTCCTAGCTGCTCTCAGGACTCCAGGGTAAGCTTACAATTTCTTTAATTGATTGTAAGGCATCCCACCCTCGTCGCCAGTGTTGAGTCCTCAGCTTAATGGCAATAATTTACGGAGCATCTCGTAGATTCAGAAAGCCTTTATTGTTGTTCTTCAGCTCTGTTACAGCTCTGAGGCATGCAAGCCTCTCTGCCTCTCTTAAGAGCAATCCCTGGGCCGAATGGCAACATTTGGCGCGCTCCACGCCTCGCACATGCGCGTGAAGCCGGCGCCAGCCAGCCTGGTCCCGGGCAGCTTGCAACTGCCCGGGACCGTGGCAACGCCCCGAGCCTGCCTTTGCAGGCTCAGGACACAACAATTAGGAACAGCTATAATCATATCTTTATGGTCTTTAAAGAGCTAGGAAAGAAGTTCAAAACTTTGGGGCTTGGGGGCTGTGCTCTATGTTTCCAGTTCATGGAAAAAACCTATGAAAGAATACACAAAGTCAAGAACTGGATAAGCAAATGGGGTTGACAATATAATTAGGGTTTATGGAATTGCTACTAAGAATTTCACAAAGATTGGCAAATACACGTTTGACCAAAGGCAGCAAATATGATCAGAAGAATTTTAACTTCAATCCTTTGGTGCTTGGAGGTAGAAAAACTGGGAAATATAAATTTCAGATAAGGACTTGGGTATTGTAGAATGTTGAAATATAGCCTGTTAAACTACTATATGAAAAGTTAGGAAAATATAAGCTTCAGAGATTTGGCCTTCATTGTCTATCTACTAGGGCTCAGAATTGTTGAACATCAATATTATGTTCTTTTGAAATCTGTAGTAAGTGTTCCCATAACAAACAACAAATTATTGCAGTTCGGGAGAAATAAGAACAACAACAAAATCTTGCTGCAAAAAAATGCATCCCTGCCCACACGGATGATATTCCTTCCTGAACTGGGACTTCATTTGAGGAAACAAAACTGGTCCATAGAGTTTTGATAGATCATCACTTTTTCTTTTATTTGCTTCCTAATAAGAACAAGGGGGCAGTGATGTGGGGTGTTGAGGGGGGGCTAGGCCTTGCACTTTGACTAAATGGAATCTTTCTTTTCACTCTTGGCAACCACAGAAGTATTCTTGTGCTGACACTCTCTGGGCAGTGCTATATTTATCTTGTAGCTGAACACACATTTCCAAGAGGTTTTTCAATAATAGAAAGGCAACCAGCCAAAGCAGTTTTAACCTAAGAAGTTTTGTTCCAGCATCACATCAGCACTGTGTTGATTGCAGAGGCCAAATCATGCGATGGCCAGGAAGAGTTAACTGCTGTCTCGAAACAAAGGACTTTCTCTCTCTTGCTGGTGGCTTTGTGAAAGACTGAGGAATAGTTGATAAGATGGAGTTCAACAAGTTTCTGAATGCATCAGAGGGACATCAAAGAAGGCAAGAGGAGGCTTTTGCTGGTGCAGGGAGCAGTGAAGACAGTGTGGACAATGATGTGGATTTTGTACAAATGTATCTTAGCTGTTTACCTGAGGGATATATGAAGGCAAAATTTACCCTGGCAGCATATCTGGTGTGTTGGCTAATCTTGAAACTCTGTAAGGTAAGAGATTGATTTCAGTAATTCAGCTAGGGGCAAAGTCAACAGGAGTGAAGGCAACGGTGGGGGGGGGGGAGGGGGAAAGGTTGCTAGGTGAAGAAGGTAGCATCAAAGAGACCTTGTCAGCTTCTGGACTGGCATAGGCACAGCAAGACTGTGGATAGCCATGCTGTTGGCAATAGAGCATCCCTCTTCCTAGAATATTTACTGCTAAATAATTCCATTTGGCATCAGATCACCAGAAGCAGACTGCATTTTGTTCTTGGAAACATTATCGTGTCATGATTTCAAATGTGATGCTACACATATGCAGAATATATTTTTTCTTTGTTTTTGTGTTTTTAAAATGGGACAGCAAATTTGTTTTATTTCCTGGTCTAACATTTCAGGAATGTAGAAACAGTTGTAAAACATGGAATTAAGGAATGGGGATAAAAGAAATATTAGTTGGCTTTTCCCCAGGAAAATAAGGAACATGATCATCTAAAATGGTTCTCCTCAGCCTCCTCCAAAACCAGAGTCTGAAAGTACCTGCTCTTTCTTTCAGTGACAGATGTAGAAGCACTTCTGTTTCCTTAGATCTGCCTCTCACACTAATTTGCACTTCCTCCCCATCAACTTTCTTACCAGTTGACACTGAAGAAAACTACTTGTAAGAGTAAAAAATATGCTTTTGTTTATTTAAAACACTAATTATAGTGCAATATTTTTGATTGATCTGGAATATGACTTGACATTGGGTTCTCAAAATAACATTTCTAATTTAAACCATGTTTCTCTAATTGCTAAAACTAACTGGAACTGAGGGATATAAAATATGAAAAGACAAAATGATTATGAAATAGGAGCATTAAGTTGTCTTCCTATAACTACTGGGAAAAGGCTCTTTGGAATTTGGTGGGACATTTTTTTAATGTATATATACTTAAGGACACACACATTTATTTTAAAAAGCATATATTTCATATTTTCATATTCATTTTGGTATTTGCATTTCAGGTAAAAATAAAAAAATGCACTAACTGAAACTGAGTTGGAACAGCAGCATAATATAATCTTGCCACATTTTATAGAATATTTGAACAAATATCTGTATAATTTGTTTTTCCATTTTTGAGATGGGTGTGAGAGGTTTGGTTGAAAGGATTAAACTTAAAAAAAGATATCTACAATAATTTATGTTCTAACGGTAATTTAGAAAACAGTTTAACATATCATTATCCCACTACTTTGTAAAATTCTAGTAGTAGTTTAATTTCTTTGACATGTAGAAAAACTTAGGTGATAATCAGCAATGTTACTTTTTTTTACAATCTGTGGGTCTGTTCTATTGTTCTAAAGTAAGGATAAACACAATAATTATTTATTAAATTATGTTTATAAATACCTCAGTCCATATGAATTCTATTCAAAATTGAAGTGATGAGATTTGTAGGCCAGTAAATTTAAAGTATATAAAATTGGATATTTGCTCAAAAAATGCATGAAAATTAGCTGCAGCACTAAACGGTTACTAGAATTGGCATCTTTCATCCTGACAGTTAAATTCAAGAACAATTGTTTAGTATGACTCCCTTTTACCCAAATTATGTGAAAATTGCAGGCACTACCACATAACAAAATTAAAAACAGATGTTTCATCTTACTTACTTACCTACATAGGTATAACATATTACAGACCATGCCACTCATATTACTTGTAACTTATTCAAATATGATTTACATTAGGACAAAATGGATTCTCTTCAGTGATGGATTTCCCACTGGTAAATGTATTGAAGGATTTGGGGAATAGATGGGTACATTTAAGAGAGAGAGAGTAGAGACATTCCTTCATTTTAAAACACATCTGATTGAATTCTCATTGTTCTCCCATCTTGAACTGGGAGAAATACTGCTGGCTAGTAGACTTATGCTAGACACTTTAAAATGATGACAGGATCTCATTAACAAGTGAGGCTCATAAAAAACAGTTAAGTCTGGGCTGAGTATTGTGAATATATTTTATTATGAATGGCAAGAAATACAGACCTTCTAGGTCCTCTTTGCATGCAATCATCATTTATAAGAACTAAAAAATATTTTTTTATTCTGTATTTGCTATTCATTCCCCAGCCTGAGAAGACTACAGCTCTCATCAGCTACA